TATCCAAGTCCCACACAATGAAGGGAGACTAATTCAAGTTGCTCTCTGTCCTCTACAAGCACCCCATGTCACCCCCACCCACAGACTTACATGTTGTCAGTTAGCTTTCTACTGCTGTGATAAACACCATGACCAGAATCGATCTGGGAGGAATGGACTGATTTAATCTTATAATTTATAGTCCATCATAGAGGGAAGTTAGTGCAGAAACTCAAGCAGGAGCTGAAGCAGAGGACATGGAGGGGTGCTGCTCACTGGCTGGCTCCCCATGACTTGCTCAGCCTGCTTTCTTAAACAAACCTGGACCACCTGCCCATGGCTGGCACCTACCCACAATGGGCTGGGCCTTCCCACATCAATATTTAATCAAGAAAGTTAGGTATCAAACTCAGGACAAATGGCTAACTGAGGTACCTATTTAACATATCAAAGCGGATGCTGGCTGCCAGGTTCTCCTAGCATCTCTCAGTACTTATTACAGAGTCATGCTGGCTGGCATACCCCACCCCCACCTTGAACGCCTCCAGCCTGAGCTTCACTGGCCTTCCCCAGCTGTTCTTCCCTATATAATCCAGTCATTTTGGCTATGTGGCCTCTTGGTTCTCATGCTTTCTGGGTTCCCAGGTGCTCTCTTTCCTCCCTCTTTCTTCTCTTCCTCTCTTGCTCTCTACCCTCGCCCCAACTCAGGCCATGTCCAGTATGGACTCTTCCAGTTGCCTCTGGCTGTTTTCTTCCTTCTATCTACAATAAACCTTCTCCTCAAACCCATGCCTAGAAACAGTCATGTCCTCATTTTTTTTCATTAACAAAATATTCCAAACTTGCCTACAGGCTAGTCTGATGGAGGCATTTACTTAGTTGAGGGTCCCTCTTTCCAGCTGACTCTAGCTTGTGTCAACTTGACCAGAAAAAAAAATTAACCAGTATATATGTACACATAAAGAATATAGACAAACAGTATAAAAATGATTTTGGCTCCTGGTTCAGGCCCATGAAGGCAGAGAACGCATGGCTATGGCAGTAGGAACATGTGGCTTTGACTGTTCACATTTGTTTGGACCACGAAGTAGAGAGCTGCAGCTAGAAGCTCCATGTCCATGACCTTGGTCTGCTAGCCATGCTGCATGCCAATGACCTAAAGCAGCATCGCCAGCTGGAGGCCACGCAAGTGAACACATAATTGGACACGTAGACCTGTTGGGGACACTTCAAATTTGAACTACTACAACTGTGTTGTAGAATATTAGTTGAAGATGTATTACATTTGTTTATGCTATGGAACATTTGTTTAATGACGCAAAGATGTATTGCATTCTTTTATGTTGCATTTGTTTAACTCTGTAAAGCTGTGTTTCTTTGCCTGTTTAAAACACCTCATGGTCTAACAAAGAGCTGAACCACCAATAACAAGGCAGGAGAGAGATAGGTGGGGCTGGCAGGCAGAGAGAATACATAAGAGAAAAAGAGAAGGGCAGGAAGCAAGAAAAGGAGGAGCAGAGGATGCTGGAAGCCAGCCACCCAGCCACCCAGCCACCCAGCCAGACATGGAATAAGAAGGAAGGGAAGGAATACAGAATGGAAAGGTAAAAGCTCAGAGGTAAATGGTAGATGGGATAATTTAAGTTAGGAAAGCTGGCTATAAATAAGCCAAGCTAAGACTGGGCATTCATAAAGAAAGAGTAAGTCTCCATGTAATTATTAGGGTGCGGGTGTCCCAAAGAGTAAAGAGTAAAAAAAACCAACTATACAACTGTTTTGTCAAAGGCATAAACACTGGAGAGATTTTTTTTTTATTGTTATTTTTGTTAGTGTCTCTTTCTCCTTCTGCCTTCAGGTAGTGAAACTTGAAGCTTAGGTGGTAACTCTGGAACCAGATGTCAAATCAAATCAAAACCAGATGTGGACAGCTGTCTAATGTTGGCATCAGTGAGAGAGAATGTGTATTTGTGTTAAGTCGCAGACTTTGGGTCTATTTGTTACTGTGGCATTTCACAGTCTAGACTGAGTAAGAACAGAGTCCACTTGACTTCTTATGTAAAAAGTGGAGTGGTTTATAAATCTCTGGTGTTTATTATTTTGTTTGTTTTCCCAAAACAGGGTTTCCCCGTGTAGCCCTGGCTGTCCTGGAACTCATTCTATAGACCAGGCTGGCCTCAAACTCAGAGATCCACCTGCCTCTGCCTCCCAAGTGCTGAGATTAAAAGCATACGCCACCACTGCCCGGCAAAATCCCTGGTGGTTTTATGTATGTAAACTGTACGTATGCATGTCTTTTGTTTGAGACAGTGTCTCAATTACTTTCTCTGTTGCTGGGATAAAATATCCTAACAAAAGCAACTTAAGGCTCACAGGTCAAGGGTACAGTCCATCATGGTAGAAGTCATGGCAGCAGGAGCTGGAGGTAGCCGGTCACACTGCACCCAGTCAGGATGCAGAGAGAAATGAATGCTGGAGCCCAGCTCACTTTCTCCTTTTCATACAGTCCAGGACCCTGACCCAGAGAATGTTGCCACACACATTCTGGATAGATTTTCCCACCTGAATGAACACAATCTACATAATCCCTCCCACACATGCTCAGAGGTTTGTCTCCAAGGTGATTCCATCAGTTCAGTTGATAATATTAATCATCACACAGGGTCTTGCTGTATGGTCCAGGCTAACCTCAATCCATCTCCCGATTGCTGGAATAACAGGTGACACCCCCACACCTAGTTTTGTCGTGTTCTTTGGTAATTCCAATGGTAAGCCTATGTTCCCCAGCAGTCACTGGGAAAAAGATGGCCTTCTGGAAGGAGTGAGTGCCTGACTAGGGGAGCCTTGCCACACCCTGGCTCACAGGGTAGGGAGTTCCACCTGCAGCCATAGAGGAGACAGCACAGGTGGGCTCTTGGTGGGAAATGGGCTGCAGAGACAACAGTACCTTTGTGGACTCAGGGTCTAATCCGTGGATTACTGAGTTGGAAACTCCATCTTGACAACAACCTGGAAATGAACAAAGAGGGAAGATCCTGTAAGTACTGGTTAACTGTACTGGACACTGGTCAAACAGCCAGCAAGTGCTACCTGAATGCCCATTCACTCATTCCACCACCACCAACCTGCGCCCCCTCTCTGCCCCCCCACCCCACCCCAGCTGAGGACCGAACCCAGGGCCTTGCCCTTGCTAGGCAAGCGCTCTACCACTGAGCTAAATCCCCAACCCTTCACTCATCCTATTGTATTTTTGAGACAGGGTCTCGTGTAGCCCAGGTTAGCCTTGTGTTCCTGTTTTCACTTCCCAAGGTCTGGGATCTCATGTGTGCACCATTACCAGCACAACCTGGTACCGATTTATAAAGTCATGAAGGAATGGACTGGGCCATCTCTCCAGCCCCAAGAATTTTTATTTTTATGATTTTAAATTTCATGTGTGTGTTTGCATGTGGGTATGCACATGTGAATTCAAGTGCCCGTGAAGGTCACATGCATTGATCCCCTGGAACTGGGGTTACTGGCAGTTGTGAACTGGGAACCCACTTGGGTCCTCTGGAAGAGCAGTAAGCTCTCAAACATCGAGCCAACTCTCCGGCTTTTAGGCAAGGTTTATAAAAGCATTGTTTTAGATAGGGTCTCATGTAGCCCTGACTGACCTTGAACTCCTGATCCTCCTGTCTTCACCTCCCAAGTGCTGAGCTTTCCAGCACTTACCACCACATCCAGCTTTATTTACTGAGACGGGGTGTCATTCTGTATTCCATGCGGGCTGTCCTGGAACTGACTAGTCTCCAAAATCCTCTTGACTTGTCCTCCTGAATGCTAGGATTCTAGGTACTGGCCACTTTTAGACATCACTACAATTAGAGTTTAGAGCTAAGAGAGTTGACAGTTCATGTGTATAATACATAAGTGTCAGTGGCGCAGATCCTTACATACAGTAAGTGCTCAATAAGTGCGGATGGAAGAATCTAAGGGGACTCAAGAGTGCTGAGGTCCCCTGTCTAAGGTTGCACAGCCAGTGATTCAGGCTATGATACTCAAGGCTGCCTTTATTACGCATCCATCCGTTTATTTAACTTATCCCACTTATTAACATCAGCTTGGTATCATCGACCATGCTCCTGTTCCTAGAACGCAGCACACCAGGGGACCAAAGGCTAGACTCCTCCACAAGTGCCGGACTAACAGTTGCCTAGGTAACAAAAACTGGACTTCGTCCCTACAATCCAATAGAAACCAGCGATGACGTAGCCGCGGAGGCGGAGCATCTGCCATTCCTCACAGGCTCCTCCCCACGCAGCCGCAGCCCCGCCCCACGGCAGCACAGAATGTGCCCCCCGAACCCTGGCCTCGTCAGCCTGCAGCTCCCACAGGCGGTGACGTCACAGGCCCCCCGGCTGGGCGGCCCCGCACCCACAGTACTTGAGAAAGGGCCGTGGGCGCCGGGCTTGCCGAGGCCGGACTCTCGCTCTGATCCGGAGCTGGAACTCGGACTCACCTTTTCAGTTGTCCGGGAGAAACTTCCGGGAGGAGGGGCGAGGGGAGGGAGGAGGGGGAGGGAGGAGGGGTGCTGCGCGCGCACCCTCCGCCGGGCCCGAGAGTGGCGCGCAAGCGCTGCCAACTTCCTCTAACTCGTCCCCCAAGTCCCGCTGGGAACTCCATTTCCCAGAAGGCTGGGCGGCACGCCTCGGCCCTCTCGGGCGCTTTTCCTCCTACTGCGCACGTGCTAATCTGAAGCCAATCGCGGTGAAGTACGAGACAGCTACCAATCAAAGGTTAGACTATCTAAACTCACCCCCTGCTTCTGGGTCTGCTCCGAATCTCAGCTCCGCCCCCACGCAGTTTCCATGGCAACCAGCTGTCACCTCTTAATGGCAGTTTCAGGGAGGCAGAAAGTGAAAGTAGGGTTATAAGAGGGCAGTGGACTGTCCAGCCCTGGTATCCCCTGACTCAGTTTCCACTGTACTTCCCAGAGGCGGTGCAATCCAGACGGCGATGGCTCCAGCAGGCTGGCGCGGAGACGCCCGAGTGGGTCAGCTCTGAGATGGTCCTGGCACCCGACATTCCTGAGGAGTTTCCACCCGAGACGCGCGCTTGAGGGCTTGTGTTTCCTGTGATCCCGGAAAGCAAATGACCACTCGGTCGCCAGCCACGCCGGGGTACGCTTCCCCCACGGAGACTGGCGCTCGCGGGCTTCGTCCTCAGCGGTGGGAGCGGGAGGCCCTGGTGGGAACCTGGACCCTTGCTGGCTCGCAGCCTTGTATAGGCTGGGCCTTTATGCGGGGTTTCCTCTGGTGGAAACCAGTCCTGAGGGGCATCTTTTACTTGTTTGTTTGTTTGTTTGTTTGTTTGTTAAGGTTTTTTGTGTATGCATGTGTGTCTGAGTGTCTGTGAACCACCTGTGTGAAGGAACCGTGGAGACCATAGAGGGTGTCGGATTCCCTGAAACTGGAGTTATACATAGGTGCGAGCCTCCATGTGCGTGCTGCGAGCCGAACCTCTGTCCTCCTGAAGATCAGCAATGGCTCTTAACCCAATATCCTTTAAAACAAAATACAAAATATTCTTTAAAGCAAACAGAAAGGGGTGAAGAGCACTTGGTGCTGCTCTTGCAAAGGACCCAAGTTCAATTCCAACATCCATATTGTGGCTCACAGACATCTGTAGCTTGTTGTTGGTTGTTTTGGCTCTTTTTGGGGGCCCTCCACCCAGCTCCCAAATAAATCACACGGAGGCTTATTCTTATTTATAAATGCCCGGCCTAGCTTAATTTAACTTAGCCCCATCTATCTTTTGCCTCTGGGCTTTTCCTGGTCTCTTACTTCTGTATGCCTTTCATTATTTCTTAATTCTGTTCTGTCTGGCTGTGTAACTGGATGGCTGGATTGCCGGCCAGACATCCTCCTCCTTCTCTGGCTCCTCCCTCTCCCAGATTTCTCCTTCTATATATTCTCTCTGCCTGCCAGCCCTGCCTATCCTTTCTCCTGCCTTGCTATTGGCTGTTCAGTTCTTTATTAGACCATCAGGTGTTTTAGAAAGGCAAGTAACACAGCTTCACAGCAGTAAACAAATGCAACATAAACAAAAGTAACAGACCTTAAAATAATATTCCCCCACAGTAGCTCCAGTTTTAGGGGATCAGATGCCCTCTTCTGGCCACTGAAGACACCAGGCGAGCACACAGCACTTCCATGCAGGCATAAACAAACATAAAAATCGCCAGGCGGTGGTGTCCCACACCTTTAACCCCAGCACTCGGGAGGCAGAGCCAGGCGGATCTCTGTGAGTTCAAGGCCAGCCTGGTCTACAGAGCGATATCCAGGACAGGCACCAAAACTGTACAGAGAAACCCTGTGTCGGAAAAAAAAAAAAAACAAAAACCAAAAAACCAAAAACAACCCCCCCAAAAAAACCAACCCATAAAAATAAAGAATACTTTGTATCTATTCTTTGAGCGTCTCAAACATGTATACAGTGTATCTTGATCATGTCCACTTCGCATTTTCTGCTAAAAAAGGGTATGGCCCAGGCTGGCCCCAAACTGGTTATTCTGCCTCCACCTCTTTAGCATAACCGGTGTCATATATATGTGTGTCACCCAGGCAGATCCTCCTGTGTGCTTTAACTTAACATCCTTTATAACACCTGATACAGTGTAACTGCTATGTGACTAATTGTTATACTAGTTCAACTTTTTCAAACTATTTTCTTCTGCATCTGATTGGATCTGTGAATGGAGAACTTATGAATATATATTGACTTTGATACTATGGCTAATTGCTTTTTTAAAAAAAGTTGCCAAAATATTGGTATTATAGAAATGGCAATTGTCCACATAGAGCGGGGGGATTAATTCACCCACTTTTCATTCTACAAAATATAATTAGAAATCCAGCAGCACTGTTCCCACCCATTCAGCAGCATTGTTCCCACCCATTCAGCAGCATTGTTCCCGCCCATTCAGCAGCATTGTTCCCACCCATTCAGCAGCATTGTTCCCACCCATTCAG